TTGAAAATTAAGCTATGGATTTAGAATTAAAAGAGCAGATTCTAAAAATCAGACTTGCTATCAATATATTCAATAACAGACAGAGAATACAAAAAGATAAAACAAGAACACAAATTATTTCAAAGTTTATAGATGAATAACATGACTACGAAAAAAAAAAATTCAAATATTTCTGAAAAGACACCTAAAAAAACAACTTACTCAAAATCAGAAACATATTAAGGAGCCCACAGGCTGTAAACAGCATAGTGAAAGCATTTCGGGGAACGACCCCTTAACTATAAAGTTATGTGCTTTTGGAAAAGTGGAGCGTGTCCTTAGGACGTTTTGAACTCTTGTAAATTTGAACTGCATAGTATTATAATGCAAGATTTTATTGTAATTATGGAAGGGTTTAATGATAAAAATCTACTTCAACTAAAAACAAAGTTTTAAAATATAAGATAGGTATATAAAGTATAAGAGAGTCTCTTTTACGATTTATACTAACGTGTTTCTATGTGGGTTGCCTTCTAATGCTCACTTAAATCATTATCTACATAAGGATATAGAATTAATATACCAAGGCTTCCATGATTGTACATTTGTAAAAATGAATAACTGAAATTTTTATTCAAAAAAATAATTAATCAAATATACAAATCAAAGGTCTTCCTGTAGGGCAAAAATCTCGCGGCGGTTCTAAAAAATAATAAAATCTCTAAATAACACTAATTGTATGGGTTATGACGACATCTACACTAAAGTATTGAAAAATTGTTCTATAGACTTAGCTCCATTATAAGCATATTTTGTGAGTAATTTTCTTTATGATCATAACTAAAATCTTGTTTTAACGTTTAAAGAGAATTATCTTTAAAATGTTGGTTGATAATTACTATTATGACATAAATGAATTTGTTAAATCCAAAATGTACTTACTTATTAATAAGTATAAAATAAATTCGTTATCTATGACGATGCAATATTGGCATATCGATAAACATGCGAAAAATATATTAAAATAACAACTAAAATTGTACCAGAGTATAAAGAGTAAGTGCTCTTCATACATACGCACCGAAAATGGTTTGTATGTCAGCGCGCCCGTGCGTATGCGTAATCGCACGCATACACTTACAAAATTATGGAAGTTATAGAAGTTCAAGGCACGAGTCTCAATTCACCAGTCGTGGTTAGTACGCCATGATTGCGTATATTCCGCGTCGCTGTATTGCCGCTCATGCATCATACATCATACATGCATTTATAAATCGAATATATGGTATTTCACATTTTAATAAATCAAGTATATGGTTTTTCGTTCTTCAGGTATTCGGGTAATTTTTTATAATAACATAAGTAATTATTATTTAGTGTAGTTATTTACCCATCGAAAATGTTTATGTATTATTTCTACGCAAGAAATCGTATACCCAATATCAATTTGTAGTTTAATTTATTAAATCTTTATCCCCGAATACCGCCAAATTGAAATAGATATTGAATTGTATATTTGCGTATTAGACAATGTAAAAAAATGGGCCATTGATTAAAACAGTTTGTACAAAGCACATGATTATTAAAAATTAAGATCGGCATTATCTAATTTTGTTCGTAGCCTGATTATTTGGAAAAAATAATAAATACATAATTAATTAAAACCATGTTTTCATTTTACAAAACACTAAATTGATGATATGACGTAGGTATGAAAGGAGTTGAAAGTTCCAACTTTATCAAATGTTGCGAAAGTAAAAGATCTTAGAGTTATCATAGATAACAGACTTAAATTAAATTTTCATATTGATTCAATTGTTACTAAATCAGTTCTTGGCTTTCTTAAACGTAATTCCCAGGGATTTCTGCGGCAACAAACAAAAATAATTTTGTATAACAGTCTTGTCTGAAGCAGACTTGAATTTGCCTCTATTGCATGGAATCCTGTTTAAGCTAACTCATCACAAAGAATTGAAAGCATTCAAAGAGCATTAACGAGACATCTAGCTTTCAGGTATACATCATACGGCTCCTTACAATATGCGATTGTCTTTCTTTGGTATGACCTTGTTAAAAGACCGTCGCATTGTATTCGACTTATTATTTCTTCACAAAATTATTAATTATAAAATCTCATGTCCTGATTTGCTGGCTGCCATCAACATCACTGTCCCACGTCACTGTCCGAGAAAGCCTCTTACAAAAACTTTCAATTTGCCCCGATGTAAAACTAATCTTGGCCTACATTATCCCTTAGCTAGAATTTGCAATAGTTATAATAATTTCAATGTGATAATTTAAAACCTTGATATTTTTTATGATTCACAAAATTGCTTCAAAAATACTCGTACTTTATTGAAACTGCTCGAGTCTCAGAATGTGTTTTTTTTTCTTCAAAATGATAAAGAAATTTATTTCTTTATGTTTGTAATATTATTTTTATTTTATAATTTGTGTTTTAGTCTAATGTTAGTTTTTTCATAATTTGGTTTTTTTGCCTCCTTAAGTTTAACTTGTTATACAAGAATGTTGTGTTGCTTGTAAAGGCTTACCTATCAATCTGTCTGTTTTTATTTTTTGTATATTGTTTAAATATCTAGCTGTACCTACTTATATATTTATACTATGATTGTACCAGGTTTTCTGGAAATAAATAAATAATCACTCATTCATTTATTCGTTCGTGTGTTCGTTTATTCATCACAACATCGATTTAGCGATATTTGGGAGGTAATAACGCCCAAACATCATACGCATATAGTTATTATTCTTGACAACCTAACTGCGAAAACTAAAATTGACAGGGAATACTAGTAAATCATGATATCTTAATAAATAATAGGATAGTATAAAAATATTATGTTATTTAAGTATCTATTAATATCATAGAAAGCTGAGTTTATTAACATTTAGCTAAAGAATAATAGAAAATAAATGAAAACTACTTATCTAAACTATGTCTTAAAATAATAACTATACTTAATAAAAAATGTCTCCCAGATCATTGCCTACAGGTAAGGTACCCAGCAGGCTGCGAGCGTTTCCTCTTTGAATAGCTAAACTAATTCTTAATAATAGATTACTTATTTCTTATCATAGATTACTTTTTTGAAGTTTGAGAACTTTGCTGGTTTGGGTTTATATTATTTAATTATTTATTCATTTCACAAATCGCATGTCACAAGTATAATAGATGTTACATTAGATTTAAGATAGTGTGACATCCTGTAAGGGTGTAGCAATTGTATATAGCATTAATAACACTTAATAACCCATAAAAATATCACTAGTCTAGCATACATAATTAGTCCTAACTTATTATTGGGAGGTCACTTTACTATATGTTTATTTTATAATACTTTAGTTAGGTCAGGCTCTTATCCTCGAAGAGTTCTGAGACACTATAATAGCATTTGTTTATAAGAATTGTTTCAAATGATTTTCAAAAGCTTTTGTTTTTTCGAGCTCTTTAATATAATTTGGTATTTGATTGTAAATTTGAATTAACATTGAATGCCCCCCTCCTGCTGAGTATAATTTCATTTTTGTTGAAGGGACCTTTAGTTTATTATGGTATCTATTGTTACGTCTTAATTAAAACATTTGATTAATATAAATAGGCAAAAAAATTGCAAAGTGGAAATTAAATAAATGTTATTATCACGTTTTTTTATTATTATCTACAATACATTACTTCTACGATTTATGTGTTATTAATTCAATGAATAATTTACAGATACATTTTGCATTTCTACGACGTCTCTTTGATCTCAAAATTGTTTCGTTTGGCTCAAAATTCGAAATATAAATTTAAATTTATCCTTATGTAATTGGTCCATAAATTCAGTAATTAATTATATAAATAACAACACTAAAATTTGAAACAGAACAAGATAAGTTAATACTTATCTTGTTCTGTTGTAAACTTGTTCTGTTGCTGTGTAGTAAATGCATGTTTAAAACATGGAAATATTGTATACATAATACACTTACAAAGACACATAAATACTAAATATTTAGTTTGTATAGAAGTAACTGCATGTCTCAAAAGTGATGTGTCAGTCACTTAGTTTCTTATAGAAGTTTAGAAATCTCTGAAATCCTACTGGAATTAAATTCTAGTGAATTTTAGCAAACATTTTCTTTGTATTTGCTTACATTGTTACAAAAGAAGTCTCAGTAAATTGGATTATGCGCTGAAACATCAGTCAATCAAAATATCACTCAAGTTGAATATCAACTAAGAAGGGTATAATACTCTTAATAAAACTTTTAACATTGAAATTGTTATACGACAGAAAAGACAAATGAAAGTCAAAGCAATTAATCTTCTACCAAGTGGTAGTAGGTAGGAACTAGGTACGTAGAGCAATTTCTTTGCGTCAATCGCCCATCTGAATTATGTATGTTTGGGTAAGGTTTATAATGAGATTTTGATTACCAGTTTAATCTACAACACTTATCAATCCAGGTAAGTCCTAAATTCATTATGTTGCCCTTTAAATATGATAATGGACGACACCGAGAAATATGTATATTTCGGAAAATATATTGAAATTCAGTTGCCTATTTGTCCTATTTTTTATTTTATAGCAATCACTTGCAAGGGTATAGATATTATGATAGTAGTTTTTGGAATCATGCAACGTTAAAAGTCGCAATCGTGTTTGGCAAAAATGATTATATGAATTATCAAGAGACAATAAAAACTTGGTAACTTAATGTTATATTCACATCTAACGTTGCAATTAATTTTAAAATAGCAATATCTTAAAAAACGTCAAGAACGCAATCGCTATCGTATCTCAAATAATTGCAGCGTGAAGTCCGTGAATATTTTTCAAATATCGAATCGATCGCGGACTTTAAAAATAAACAATTAGGCCTATAGGAATTTTGTACAAAACAATGTCATAAAACTATAAGCGCAGCTAATGTTCTGTCACTTTCGCTATTGAAGCATCAATCGTCGAAGGCCTCAAAGCCATGATCGATGTTCTGATGTGAATTATGACGGAGCAATAAATCTTATATAGCACGTTCTCCAAATGACCTAGGCAATTTATGAGTTTATATTTTCACAAGTAATACCTTACCTTATATTTATTAAGTACAACCACTTGCCAAGGCCATTTTCCAGGTGGTGCTGGTCTGCCACCTATAATTCGGATCATGTCTCTTATCCGGGACTTCTCACGGCCTGCTCTGTATCGGCCTATACGTCCACACTCCATTGAAACTGGTGACATTATTCGCGAATCTTCCTTGTGTATCGCTGGTACTGGAGGCGACATTGATTCAATTACTCTGTAACCATATCCTGAAAACGAAGCAAGTTAATTATGGTAGATGACTCAATTTTGACTATTTTAAGATTAAGATTTCATTTTAAGATTATGACCCTATTTTGGGTAAAGTTAGCAAAAAGTGAACATCGCAGTTGATATCAACATTACCATAATTCAACATTTTAAAGACCGCGTACAGAAAACTATTATATTTACTGACATAATGATTGAAGTTGAATTAAAAGTGATAGCTCTGTTAGGGCGAGCCTGTCCTTTAAATCAAATTAGGAATAAAACAAGAAAATAGTATTGAGTTGTGGAACTAGCAGCTGCCACGAAAGTTGGAATGAGACATCTAAGGGATGTAACAGCTCGTTGTTAGTTGTAACCGGGGGTTTCATAAATAAGCTCGAATACACTCTAAGGGCGATGTAGTCTCTCTGCGAGATCGAATAAGAGATGATGAAATTCGCAGATGAACAAAGATGAATAACATACCCCGAAGAATTGCAAATCTGAAGTTGCAATAGGGAAGGTCATATAGTATGTCTAACTGTTTATTATTTTGTTACTTAAGATTAGGTTATTAAGATCACTTCTTTAAATTATGTTTTAGGTTCGGTGCTAATTTTAACAGCGTGTATTGTGAAGGTAATAATATAATTTTCTACATACATAATTTATATATTAAGCGTTTTATGGTAAATATAAATTCAAAATAACTCATTTTTAGAAGACAAACCATGCTTTTGGTTTTAGAAATTCACAAAAGAAGGAAAAATTTCGTAATACATCTGCATAAAACGCGAGAACATTTTCTTTGGGAAATTTAATTAATTCTGCAATATTTCATCTCTGGCAATTAAAATAATTAAGAAGACAAGAACAAAAGGGATTTAATTTTGTACTTTCTACAGAATATTAAGCGTTTAACTTATTATAACTTAATACTATGCATTTGTAAGCACACTGCGTGTTTTTAATTTATAATGTTAAACAGAATTTAAATATATATAAATCATATATCTGTTTTACGTTTTTTATAAAAATAAATAATAAAATAAATATTTATTTGATCAATTTCGCATTCACAATGAAAAATATTCTGAATAATATACTGAAAAATATTTTTATCGAAAAATGAGGAAGACCCTGAGGTGCCAGGGACCAAGAGGATTTTTTAAGCATTTTTCATTAAGAATAAAAAAAAATTGTCGCCCTGTTATGGATAAAATGGATGACATTTAAAAAAAAGTGGAGTAAGATCGGCTTATCAATAGATACGATGTAGATGGTGAACAAAGCAGTTTTGGCGCATTTGAAAAAAGTTGGGTACACAAAAAGTTTCATATTTGTATACCTCACGAGCTCACTGAAAGAAGCGTTATGAACCGTGTACTCATTTTGTGATTCTTTATTACGGCGTAATGAAACCGAAACTACAATTAAAACTTTAAATTAAGGATAAAAAGTAGAATGCTAAAATATAAAATGTCTTGTGCATTTATGATAATTGCTAATGGTCAAAATTCTACTATTTATTTCAATTTTTATTTAAGTAAATGCATCTTCACATAGTAATAAAGACGTCTCGCTTGGCCAACCACGTGGCTAAGATATGCTTGTATAGATAACAATAAGATTATGTCGGTGCAAATCTGTTGGAAAAGTCAGGAGGCGTAAGTACGTGACTAAACTTCCGACAAAGAATAAGCTTGTATTGATTGAGTTGTACCTACGAGTGTAGTATTGATGCAAGGAAAAATCATATGTAAAGAAAAAGAACCTGATGAGTATGCAAGAAGGTTAAAATGCAATGGTTATCATCTTCCATCTGTGTTGCGGAAAGTAAGCTAAAATGGTAATTTTAAAAATGTATTTTTACTATAAAATATTTTTTGATTATGATACCAAGTATGCATGACTGGCACTATTGTCATTTATATAGTGTGAATAAAAGAGAAATTTAGAGTACACCTATATGATATATAGTACAAAATACTCCATTTAAGAGTACGTTTGGTAACACTGGCACAGACCCAACCACAGGCACAACACAAATCAATGATAAAAACAGTATTTAATATTAAAAACGCATGGTAGTGTTTGTATAATATTTTTTATATGCATTATTATACAAAAATATTAACATTTCTACACGTTATATAATCTTTAACCGTGTCTAATTTCATACCCCTCCACCCGATTGATTTTTGTAAAAAATAATAAGTACAAAATTATTATTTCACCTAATGAATATCATTAAAGACTTATTAATATAAAAGCATTTGATGATAACAACTGGTTAAATATAAAATTAGTTTGCTAAGTACCTATGTGCATGTTCACCTGGATCCTTTCGCCTTTGCATCCTCGTTCTAATCCAATGTTGACAGTAGCTTCCTTCTAAATAGCAGTATGCCGATTGCTTTATCACTTTACGACCGCATAACATCTTTTTTTGACAATAACTGAAAAATACAATAAATTATGTACAAAATTTAGTATTATTATTATAGAGCTGAAAACTCGGATTTAGCCACTGCCTCCTTTTTACCATTTGTCTCTTCAAGGCGTTCTAACTATCACATAAGCAAATATACTTATTATATTACTTTACATTAAAGTAAAACTATTAAAAACTATGGTTTGCCAACGTTCATGTCCTCGTAACTCTTAAAATGGCCAATACCAAATCTTCTGCCCTACATCACTGTGTTTCGAAAAGCATTGAACCATTGATTTCAGTTAAGTTCCAGTCATTAACACCTACGTAATCATTTGTAGTACCTATAGAGGCTCTTCTCTGTATATGTACTTCATATGGAAATAAATAAGCAACCATCATAACAATAGAGATATTAATAGAGAGATGATGACCTCATGTCCCTTAAATGTGTGACACCATCAGCCTATTATGTCCCCCGTAGGGGACTCCTAACTACTGACCTTTCCTATGGATGGAATCGAATCGAATAGGAAGAATGAACTGGCTATGAGCATACACGAGCTCAGTGCGGATTGTTGGATATTAACGACGACCAGATGCAGCGGGAACTAAAATGTTAGCTTGTCTCCTTAAATATTTATACTAATATTATAAAGAGGATAGATTGAATTGTTTACTTGGATCGATTAGGTTCCGAAACTACTGGACCGGTTTTGAAAATTCTTTTACCTATGCTACACACACCTTCCAAGCCACATAATATGCAGTAGAAAATGGGTGTGGGATTTTATTTAGGGAATTAAAACATTACCATAGTAACTATTGTTTGCTAATCAATTTATCATCGTAATTATATCCATATCCAAATAAAATATATAACCTTATCCAAATAAAATATTAAATTAAATTCTAAACCTGAATTAATATAAGGGGTAACTTTTTATTACTATAAACAGTTGCCTAGGAACCATACGGGCAAAGCCGCTGGCAGAAACTAGTTGCTAGTAGATAATAAATAACAATAATAAATTAATGGTCACCCATCCTACAAACGGCCATTGCGAAAGTTGCTCAACTTACGTGTCACAATCGCAGCGGTGCGTTATCGAGCTCCTAAATGAGAGTCCCGTCTAAAAAGGAATCTTCTCATGTTTGTCTAAAAGAAGAAACTATTCAAATATAAAACTAAAATTTATGTGGAAATCTATGAAAAGTTGAAAACAAATATTTCTTTCTTTTAATGGTTCAGACGCGCTATTCGTACAATCTTGCCGATTTCACGTGAATAAAACTTTTAGTTTGTAAATAATAAAAAAATATTTTCTCAATGAAAAAAATCTGCATAACATATCATGAGTCATGACGTTATTAATGTTAATTAATAAATTGATAACGCAGTGGTTACGACGTTGTATCTGCGATGTAGAGGTGAAATGCAACCTTCCCAAAAGTCGGTCTTCCTTTGTCTAACCTACTTTGTACGGAAACCTCGGTGGGCGGTCCGGATACAGGTAATATAATTATCTTATATTATTATTTAATTCTGCACATCGCACATGTAAACATATATCAAGGTCTAATATAGTTTACGAACTAATAATGCAATTTCTAAAATATAAACGGAAGTTAGGGTTGAAATTTTTTGTTTTTGTTTGATAAAATGTTGTGTGCAGCTTTCCCGTTACCGGATACTCGTAAATGTTATACTTATTTGTAGTGGTATAACAGATCTGAACAACCAAAAGTTTAGAAGAATAAGAACACGAGTTTTTTTTTTTATCTCTAAATAAGTAAGTATACAAAACTTTCGTCCTTTCGCGTCTATCAAACTCTTTCGTTCCTGCAACCCTTCGGGTTCGAACTGATGAAAGTTTTTCCATATTTTAAAGAGCCTTAGGTGAAACTTTTTATTATAATTAGCATATGCTTATTAAAATAAAATATTACTAGAACCAAATATTATAACTTTGTATTAGGATATTGTCTTACCAGTCCTGAAAGACCTATATCTATAAAGACTTAATACTCTGTTAAAATATAAATAACTGTTTTTCTTTCTAAATACTAAACCAACTTACACCCGTTTTCAGTAAATGAGAACAAGGCATAGCCTAACAAGGAAACGCCTAACCTTACGATTTGTCTAAGTTCTAGTTTAGTTAATTTGCAAATAATCATTTTTCTTTTATCTCTTAACACATTTGTGATCTGTCCGCATATCATAACCTTAGACATACTTAATATCCTTAGGTGGTTCTTAATCATTGGTGAAATGCATTTTCATCTTAAGCGATTCCTAAATAATAGACGACAGATTTGGGCGACTCCTAAGTTTAGTGAAAACAAGCATTAGATGACATACTCTTTTACTTTGTCGATTTATCTATAGAATAACATAAAATACTCTTTGTTATTGCATACTAGTTGACCTTGCAGTCTTAATTACGAATAATGAATTTTTTACATCCTTTTGATGATATGTGCAGCACGTCATAAGGTTACATTAAAACAGTTTATATTATTCAAAGCATTAAGTTTTATACTGTGGTTAAATAATCTTAAATTTTAAATTTTTCCATACACTTTTTTATTTTTTTCTTAAGAACCTTCTCCTGACGATAACGAACACAACAACACAAAATTAGCGAAATCGCTCCAGCTATTCACGTGTAATGGCGTGAGTAAGGGCAATAATGATTCATTTTTATATAATTAGAACGAACGATTTTAATGTAATTCGTATAAGACTTACGAAAAAATATATTATCAAATAAAAAAAAATTTATAAATTAAATGGGGCAGTTTCATTGTGTTACATTACATTCTGTTACTTACATTGTTAATCTTAGAGATCGCCCGATTGCAATAAGAATTTTGTTTAGCCAACAATAACACAACTTTTTTCTTTTTTTTTTAGTTCGTTTTAAATTATTAATTTTTATTTTATCCCTTTTATTGCTCAGTAAATGTATACGAGCTCACATAAAGAGCTTTAATTTGATACCCATACTGCTGAAAATAAAGAAAAAGTGTTGTTCATATTTTTTAATGACGTCTTACATCCGCCATATTGAATATTAAAACATATATATATATATAACCTATACTACTCGAAATGATGTAACGTTTCTAATGACACCTTAATATTAATATCCGTTAAGTATTTCAAAAGTTTTGATGAAATAAAGAAACTTAACCCTTAACAGAATAAACTAATTTTTGGGGCAGTCATGTAAAACGTTAATAGATTCTTAAATCGCGAATGAATGGCCGGACATTCATAAAAATACAAAATATATCTATACAGACGAAATGACAACCTCTTTTTATTTTTAAGCCAATTAAACATTTAAAAGGTGTAATTAATTAGTAAATTAATTAATAAAAAATATTTGGAAAGTGTGGGCAATGCCCAGCAATGGGCGTCTCTCGGTTGATATGATGATGATGATTTGGAAAGGCATTTTTAAATATGAAAATTGTTTTAACCAAAATGAGATTTTTGTTTGTTTGTTCGTCGAGTAGAATATTGAAGAATATTAATTAAGTATTTTTTTTTATTTTTTGCGTAATCAATAAATTACGGCGTTATTGAATTGAAATGTCGCATGACGTCACGCTTTTGTACATTTTCTATAAAACTGTGATGTACCCCCATTCCTCAACTCTATTGCTCTATTATTAAAGTCATTTCTTGTTTAAAGCAAAAAAGATACGTATCTAATATTTCTCTATTATCTAACTGACGGACTAAATAATTTTTTTTAACCAGTCGTCATACTTATTACAACCCATTACTTTTAGTTAAGCAAAAACCTATTAATAGAATAAATTACATAAATGCCAGCAGAATCTTTGGTAACGAATTGATCTAATACTAGTTCCGTTTGAGGCTGAATAATTAATAATAGAATTTGAGAAATGAATTAACTTAATCAAGTGATTTTATTGAAATCGTATTACCATCTTGTAAAGTATCGATATCTTTTAAAGTTTAAAAGAACTCAAATGAATGACAATTTAATTATATTTTATTTTATTAAACTTTTTGCCCACAGCCAAGTCTTAACTATCTTTATTCGGCATGAACATTTTTCTCATAACATTTTTAAAGATACGGACAATGGAACATATTTTTTTCCAAATCTGACTGGTAGTTACATTTAATAATTTAAAATTTAAAAACACGGCTATCATAAAAAAGTAACTGTGGAACTGTTTATAAACTAAGCAGACCCTGGATGTATAAAGAATTTTTAAACAACTTATTTTATTACTTTTAGTTAGTTTTCGGCAGTCGAGTTTTTAATTTTTGAGTTTTAACAGCCCTTGTTGAACAGTTGTAAGTTAAGTAGGTAACCTCATTTAGTTACTTTAAAATATAAAATATATTTTTGGAAGGCATCAAGGCCTTTTATTTCATATTCACATATATTCATTTTTAGATACAGAATCCTAAAAATGTAAAATAAAAATACTTCTGTTTTCTAAGTTTTCTTGTATATTTGACGGTCTGCATAAGATATCTTGAATGTGTTTAGAGTCAGTGACTAATAGTGTGATATTTATAGAGAAAAGGTTTCACAAAAACCTTTATTCGTGTCATGGAATTTGTTTGCTCGCTTCACTTAAGAATATGGCAGATATAAGCTTGCCAGGTAAATAAACTCCAGAAGCCGAAAGCAGAATTGGCATCTATTCAATAAATCTACTATTATATTCTACTTCTACTATTATAAATTGTAGTCTTATTCAGAGGGTGGGAGGTTAATTTACCACCAAAGAAATTTACAAGGCGTTACTAATGTAACACACAACTCGTTAAAGGCTAAGATAAAACACTGCAAAAGAACTACGATAAAACGGAGCGGCGGCAATTGCTGGTCATATAGTAAGTTTTTTTATTTATTACTTATTATACACATTTAACAATCTGGAGGTACTTGTGTGGTTTGTGGGTGTTTATAAGGCTACTCATGTGGTTGTGTTGCAAAATCTAAATAACAAATCTCAAATCAAATTTGTAAAGCCTCGGAGTGGCTGGAGCGCCCAATGCAGCAACCATTAGGAGTTCTTGATCCCCAAAAAACTCCTAAATGTAATTTAGAAAAGGCGACAGACTATTCAAGAACGGTAAGGTCGTACTCCTATGTGGCAATTCCTGTCATAAAATTTAGGTGACGCATATTACGCCCGTCGAGTGACCTCGTCCTGTTTAGGACAATATTATATAAAAAATACACAGATGGCAACCCGCCGATCAATATAGTACTTTTCTGGGTTATAATGTAAAATAATATTTCACTACGTCGCGCCGGCGTCGGAGAAGAATAATCATCGATCATCGGTGAGTGTCAAATCAAACACCAAGTTGCCACAACAAAAAAATACAAT